AACTAATTGATAGCCATCCTAAATATCCGGAATAAAAATAACGATACGAAACTAGAAAGGCGATCTTACGAAAAAAAATAAGTTATGAAACACAGTAAAGCCACAGGATGAAATATTATTTTCTTCGCGATTAAGGCAGGTTTACGAGCTCACCTTTCTTCGGCAGCTCGGTGGTAGACGGACTGGGGCTAGTGCTGGGCGGCGTCGACTCTGCAACAGAACAAGTTTTTATTTTTAATTAAAGTTTCTTCTTCCACTGGCGCGTTGTAGGCGCGTGGCCCGTTTAGAGGCGACGGCGCTTGGTCACCAACCCTCGCTGATGCGAGCCAAGAGTGGCGAAAGGGGTGGCGAGAGGGTTGGTTAGGAAGCTGCACGGTCCGTTATGGATCGCGCCACCTGTTACTAACTTTGCCCTCTCAAACGTATTAGCCACGGCGGCGCCGGCCAGCCTGGCCGGGCTACCAGATCATATTTTAACCCCCCTTTCAACCCTGTCTACCAAGTACACAATGGCTAACCAAATTAATACAATCAGTTTCAACTTAGAACATATTAAGAATTTGTTAATAAATAATCTGATTGTTATATAGGGTGTCATCGGATTAAGCGATTCAATTTCATTCTGTATGTTCTATGAGTAACAATAAGAATAAAATATATAAACATTGGCTTGCAAATGCTTCATGAGAAATGGTGCAGTTTGATCTTTTAATCCGGGGACACCTTATATAATAATTGTTTCGATATAATCTTCCAGAAACGATAATACTTGATTACAAGAATTTATATTATAACATTAATTGAATTATTGATGACTATCGCGAATGCTGAGACGAGCTTTTGGCAATTTCGGTATAGCGTAGAAAATCGTGAAAATTGCTCGCACGGAATTCTGCGAGAGGCAAACTAACACCGTCGCGTCGTGGTGTCGCATCGCGTCGCGCGGGTGACGCGTTTCACCGCGAAAAACTCATCGTTATTTGTCACGGACGGACGGCTGAGCGATTGCCCGTATGCAGGAAGAGCCAGCCCAGATATTTGCACGCCACCGAAGGTAAATAGGATGGGATGACAAAGCGCGCTTCTTGGCAGCCGTGTTTACGCGCCTGGACATAATGCAAATATGTGAGTCCACCCCTTATCGTCGAATCGGGCTTAAATTACCCTTTATGCTTCCCTAAATCGTTCGTGTTTTTCAGATACGATTAAAAAAGTCAATAAGAAATTACACTAAATATGTAATTAATTAAACGCCGAGTAAATATTTTATCTTTATTTGGCGAATTGTAGTAAAACCTGGCATTGGATGTTTCAATTCACACCGAAAGTAATTTCGTAAATGTTTTACATTAGGGAAATTGCTAATACGATAAGTAATAATATTGTTAGAATTTAGCCCGAGAGCGGAGGCAGTCGGTGAAGAGCTAATAACGAGTACCGCAACTAATAGTAATTTTGTATCCTTTTACACTTGAAGTTCGAGGAGTACCGTCCAATTTCGTGTACACATATTTAACGTAGAACTTTATTAAAACTCGTCGAGTTAATGTTGAACTGGCTGTTGATGTTAAATTATTCGAAAGCCGGGAACTATCTAAGGCACGAACTTTGTAGCCTTAATACAAACGAGTCTACGGTTAGAAATCATGCATGTGCGCGACGCTACGGTCAAACCGGAGTTCAACATTTTGTTTCGCGTCGAGTGTTCCTCCAGAGCAAGTGTAAATAGTTCGTCAGCGAATTCCCGGGTTTCAATTCTTCCTCGGCATCCGGAGACTATTTTCTGATTATTCGGGTCAACTATTTTCGTTTTCTAATAAAGAAATTCAGCGCGATTCGAATAATATGATTATTTATAAATAGATTGGGAAATCATAATTTCATATTTAATTTTTAACATCTGGGAGAAATATAATTAGTGCACACTATAAAAGAACAAACTGAGATTAATATAAAGTGAAAGAATACTAAAAGTAGAGCAATAAGAAAAAATGCTCAGTGAGTTAGAAAATATAAAGAAGTTGATAATTCATAAATTCCAAGATAGACAATTCCAAGACATCTGTTATAGGGCACCATGGCCTGTATTCAGAGTCGTTGCTTATTCTTAAGATCGTCTTAAGCATTTGCTATCCCTGTCTATTCCATATTTCCAGTTCTTGTCTTGTACAAGAAACAAGGACTTAAGCAAATGCTTAAAACGATCTTAAGAATAAGCAACGACTCTGAACACCGACCTATATTATTATTATTATTACATTCTATTTGAGTTTCAGTCAGTTCTATAGTCGGACATATAATTACATTTAGTTATAATAAGTAATAATAATTCTTCGTATTTCAGTCATGCTCCGGAGCAGTGAGGGAAGGAACGGATCTGATGAAAAACGAAACTGTCTCGCGTTATCCCGAAATAAAAGTATAAAAGGAGGGACAAAACGAGACGGAGAGACAGGCCGAGGGAACGGAAATTATTTAAATCCCGTTCACCGCTTTCAATTAATTTTCATCGCGAGCCCGCCGCGCCGCGATTATCGATCCCACCCC